CATACGAAATCACTTCTTTCATGGTGTTGTTCGGCGTTTCTCAGATAATTTTATCTCAGATACCAGATTTTCACGGTATGGCATGGTTGTCCGTCGTGGCTGCACTCATGTCCTTCTCTTACTCATTCGTCGGATGCGGCCTCGGCCTTGCCGGTGTAATAGGTAACTACAGCTTCATGTTCTTTTTATACTAAACATTTTTAGCTCGGAAACAAGAAGGAGTTGAATCGACCAAGAAAAAAAAACAAAAAAAAACACAAAACATGCACACATGTTCATATTTTTACAGTGAAAAGAGAGAAGACGTCTCTGGAGTTAGATAAATCCCATTAAGGGGAAATAAAACTAATAAACAATATGTCGGACAAATTGATAAAATGTTTGAATGTTGTTGAACTTTTGGTTTGCAGTGAATGGAACGATAAAAGGAGGAATTAGTGGGGTTGCTTCTCCCTCCACAGCTCAAAAAGTATGGAAGATCTCTCAAGGACTTGGAGACATAGTATTTGCTTTTCCGTATTCGATACTTCTACTAGAAATAGAGGTGGGTGTTGTTAATAAATTTTCAGTTCTCTATTTATTGGAGGCTAAGTTTCGAACCTAATGAGGGTGTTTGCACAAAACCTCCATTTTTAAAATTATAATTACGAGTTCAACCTTTGGAAAATCTCATAAATGAAGGTAACACGCAGAATAAAAAGTCTAAAACCATGGCTTGGTTGTCGTGTCAGGTTCTCCCACGTGAATGTTCTCCATTCACATATTTCATAAGAAATTTCAGTTAGTCATAATTCAAACTTGTTACTCTACCCTGTTAACATCATTTATGAGATTTACCAACAGGGATCATGGGGTTTAGTAGAATTTAGAAAGTTACAGAGGGAATTCCTCTGCTTTATAAAATTCAGGGGATTTTGTTAAATTTTCCCTCCGTCACCAGTCATTAAACACGAGGGAACTGAACCCAATTTTTGTGAAACATATTTTTGAGGGTGAAGAACACTTTGAAATCACCGCCACCAGAGAACAAGACAATGAACAAAGCATCAACGATTGCCATTTGCATCACCACGGCGTTCTATCTCTGTTGTGGGTGTTCAGGCTATGCTGCCTTCGGAGATGATACACCGGGAAATCTTCTGACTGGATTTGGCTTCTATGAACCTTACTGGCTCATTGATTTTGCCAATGCTTGTATTATTGTTCACCTACTTGGAGGGTATCAGGTAAGTTATCTTTACCCACTTTCTGAATATTTGATAAATGATACCAATTCAAAATAATAAAGAGACTATTCTTATGGTTTATTAGATGTACTGCCAGCCAATTTACGCTTTGATCGACAGATGGCTTTCGAAGAGATTCCCAAACAACGGGTTTGTGAACGATTTCTATGTTATCGAACTCCCACTGTTACCAAGTTACAGAATGAATCTACTGAGATTATGCTACAGAACTCTCTACGTCACCTCAACAACAGCAATTGCAATGTTGTTTCCATACTTCAATCAGGTGTTGGGGGTTCTTGGTGCCTTCAATTTCTGGCCCATTGTAATTTATTTCCCACTGCAGATGTATTTCGTGCAGAGGGGGTTAGGTTCTTGGACAAGGAAATGGGTTTTGCTTCAGATGTTTAGCTATGGATGCTTGATTGTTAGTGTGTTTGCTTTTGTTGGATCGGTTCAAGGACTCCTTAGTGAGAAGTTTAGTTAGTATTCATAGTTTGTCAAATCCTCTGACACTTGTATTAAAAAAAAAACAAGCTTCGTCTACAGGTATTCACTGTGAAGGATGTGCTACAGTTTCTGAAGTAATTCATATTGTTCAGGTAAATTTTGTATATCTTTGTTTTGAACTTACTAGTCCTCTGGTTTTACTTCTTGAGAAAGACTCTCCGAGTGCATCTTTTTTGACTATTTCACACTCAAAGGGTCTATTTGTCAAAATAAGTAAATGTATCTTTCTTCGAGGATAAAAATGTCAAAACAGTTTCACTAAGGGGTCTACCTGCAAAAAATAAACTAGAAGGGTGGTAAGTTCGAAGCAGCGATACTATAAAGGGTCTATCCGCAATTAACGAAAGATATCCCTTAAATAATTCCGACCGTTACCCTATCCCGACTAAAAAAATCCCCCAAAATCCGACCGTTACAACTCCCTCTCGCCCCCCTCAAATCTCTCTCACCCCCCCAAAATCCCTCCCTTTCTCACTTTGAACTTCCCCTTTCTACTTCTTGAACTTCTTCAATCTTGAATTCTTCACTCTCTACTTCTCCAATGGCCGAAACAGCCGGAACCCATGTCGTCGTCGAGATCCCCGTCGACGCAGAAACCAGCGAGCCCAACGAGGCCCAAACCCTTATTACAGCCCACCCGCTAACAGAGATCTCCTTGAGCTCAGGCCACCTCCTCCTCCTCAAGCTCTTCAACCACCAGCAGTCCCAAGTCACCCACGAAATCTCCCTCAAAGAAACCCGACTCGATAACATGAAGCGCGAGGCGTTTTACCTCTCCTCCCTCTTCTTCGCATTCCACGGCATTTTCTTTACCCTCCTCTTCACCTCCTCCCTTAACCAGGTCCAGCACAAGGCGTGTAAGAACTGGTGGGTCCCGTGTTGCTTGTCGGTGGCGCGACGTTCGGCGGCGGTGATTTTGGCGGTGCAGCCTTAACGTGTGGGGTGGTACTGGGAACGCGGGGAGGGGGCTGGAGGAAAAGAGGGAGGGGAGGGGGCTGGAGCGAGAATTGTGACGGAGCTGAGGATGAACGGCGAGTGGGTTTGATCTGTCGAGCGAGCCGCAGGCGAAGAGGAGGGTAATCAAGTGTTCCAGCGGGGAGTTGATTGGGTGGAGGCTGGTGAGGGAGAACTGGGTTGGGGTTTGTCTTTTTGGGTTTGCTGGGATTGTTGCTGCCGCTTGCAAGTTTGTGCTCTGTTATTGAGAGAGAGAGTGAGTGAGCGTGCTTGGATTTGTTTGATATTTTGTTAATTTGTTAAATAAAAGTAAGGTCCTGATTCTTGGTTGCGTACATTGTTAAGTTTTTGGGCTTTTTTCTTTTTTCTTTTTCCCCCCTCTTTCCTTTCCTTGGAGCAATTTTGAAGGATTGTAATACTGAATCGTCCTTTTTTTAATGACAGGCATCGTATCATACCAGTGTCCTGTCATTAGTTAAGAAAATCTGTAGCTCTCTATAGGCGAGATGATATGCCACAATGGTTATTTGCACATACACCCATGTACTTTCATTGTTGCGGACAAACACCCTCGGTTAAACTTGTTTGACTCTCTTACCCTTGGTAAAATTTTTAAGCAAATATTGCCCCGCAGTCAAACTAGTGAGTCTACCTAAGAACGGGGAGGACTTATTAGCGTCATATGACCTGAACAAATATATAGCAATGACAAATACAACAGTGGAAAATCTTCAAAGAAATGAAAAACAAGGTAAAGTAGTAGACCACAATTGAGTTATTTCCACCATACTAAAACTCAAATAGGATCTAAACACACCTGCACCTGGACCAGCTCCAGGTGAGTACAATTCCTCACAGTTGATACAGCAACACAAAGTATCCTTCCACACAAAACTCCCACAACACTTAAAACATAACTATGAGCATATTGTCCCACAATAGCCAAACTCCACAAGACATGAAACCTTACTTACCCACTGGCCATGTTCCCCTATGGCATGTCAAACACACTTCAGACTGTTATCTAGCTAAGGACTCTTCTTGCTGCCGGTGCCTTGCTGGCAATTAGGGAAATCGGTTTTCTTGGGGAAAACCCAAAATAGAACGGTAATACTCAAAGAAGCTATCGAGTTAGAGTTACCCTCGGGTCTTGGCTCTCTTCATACTGAGGGTATCATTGAAGGGAGATACCGAGCCAGAGATGTTTGACCCTTCATCACGAAGCGTGCCATTGAGCAAAGCTAGCTCTCTCAGCTGCTGCTTTTTGAAGAAATCCTGTGATTCATCCTGTAAAAGGAAAGATGAAGGATATTATGAATTGTGTTCGGTAGGATTCAAGGAAAAATGATGCTTGGGGAATTTCTGAGAGGATAGTAATACCACAGGCTTGAGCAAATCTTCCAAGATCTCACGAGCTTGCATCAGACGGGTATCGATAATATCAACTGGCAACTCTGCCTCTACTAAAATGTGAAGAGGCTCATCCAAGTGCTCATATCCTGGTTTCCCCCTCATCATATCCTCCTGTAATGGATAAAAGTATTAGCACGATGTATCATGGACTTTGTTTCTTAATCTTAAGTCGTTTCTAAATATCTGGAACTGAAATTTTGCCACTAGAATTTTTTTTTTCATTTCTTAGTTTATCATTAGATTTAGAGCAAAAATTACCCGAGTTGGATCCTTGATGCTGCCACGACCTCTAATAAGGACACGACAGTCAGTACTTGCTTCAACTCGCTTAAGAGAGTTTCCTCTAGGACCTAAGAGCCGACCAACAAAGTTGAACTGCATAAACCAATTAAAAGAGAATTTATCATCATGCAAATTAAATTGAAAATGAAACTCAAGAAGAATATTGCGTACAGTAGGGTACTTGTCTACGGGAATATCAACCCTCATGGTTTTCTTGACAACAAGACTGGAGGAGCTTCCGTGAGAACCGAGCCAACTATTCGCCGATGAATGTTGCAACAGTCCCAACCTCTGCATGACAATTTTGAGTCATTAAACAAATTAAAGATAATTTGAATCAATCTAGAGAATGCACAAAATAACCCATATAATTATATCTATCTGAAGAGTGCACAAAATAACCCATATAATCAAATATACAATTAAACAAAGTAACAAACCTTCAGACTGAACAGATCCATAGGATTTCTAAACACAATATTCAAAACATACTTGATACAAAAGTTAATATTAATATCAAATCAGAATGAGCATGCAATCCGAGACTATGAAAGGAGGAAAACTAAGTTAATCAATAAACTATTAGAAATTTTACATACAGCTACTAACATAGGATGGGCTCTTGCATACTGCAATGGAAAAAAAGGGATGGTCCCAAATACATGTGTTAGTCATTTATAGGGGTTCAACAAAGGCCAAGGTTTATGATATACACCAGATTCTTGATGATCCTAGCAGCAAAAATGACAAAAAGGTATTTAGAGACCAGCCGTACCTTCATAGTTAATAGAACAGTTCCAGCAAGAAAGTAGCTACCCATATATTACCAAAAGAAAGACTATCAGAACAATTAAGAGGAAAGGGCTACTTCCATTATAAGTCAAATGCTTTACTGCACAGTAATTAGCCATTTACTCTACAGAGAGCCTGATACTAAAGAGCTAGTAAGAGCAATCGAATTCAAGGCTAGACCTCAATAGTCAAAAGTTAGCATGTAGTGTAAACAAGAAATGTCAGTGCAAATTCTCAGCAGTAAGTTAACTCGTGTTAGAATGAACCTAACCAGAACACTTCAGGAACCCTTCTTCGAGCAGTAAAATTTAGATGTAAAGAGAAGTTATGTTAATGGTTAGTATCCGTACTTCTGATTGAAACGCTGATGCCCACCCACTCATATCAGCAGCTGCTCCATTCGAAAATAATCCACCAGTTGTCAGAGGGCTACCATGTTCAAACCCACTTTGCTGGTCTAAAAGAGATGCATTCCCCAATAGTGTAGTTACACGCAAAATTTCTGCTCCAAAATGTCAATTTCAAGCATAAAAGATGTACCAGTTAGCATTTGTTAGAAATTAGTTAGCAGTCAGCAGTAAACTGGAAGACGGTGGTTACTTAAACAGTTGAGCTAATAGTCAGAATCAAAATCAACCAGCTGTTGATTAGTACACTTTCAAGGTAGAATAACAAAAGTATAATCAGTTGACTTTGATGCAAAGTACACTAAATATTAATATGTGACATAATAACAATAAAAAGCATAAATGAGAAAAAGAATGTACAATGGTTATATAAATCAATCGTCATAATGAGAAAAGGCACAAGTATGCCACAGAAAAATAGAACGCTGATAATTGTATAGACCAATGTAGAAGGGCATACCCATCACTATATTTCAAGCTAGAAGAATGTTTAAAATTCAAGGGTCCTGATTTAAAATTCTAGGGTCCTGATATTTATATGCTCACATTAAATGATAATGTGTCAAGAGCTACTTAAAAGCCCAAGAACCTAGTGACTCTTCTAATAAATGGATGATTCAGAGATTCATTGATTTAGATGTGAATGTTTACTACAAAAAAGGACAGAAAATACAAGATGAAGACCAGTAAGAACCCTCTTTCTTTAGGAGTCATAACAGAAGAGTAATATTCTCCATTGAAGAACAAAAAAAATCTCATCTCTAACAGAAATAGACAATGTTGTTCAAGCTGAGATTACAAACAGAAGAGAAAAACCGGATTCCCTTGGTTTACTTGTCATATGGTTCCATTCTTTGTAAGCAATATCTGCCCAGATCATACTTTGCTAAAGAGCATGAAGATGCATATGAAACAGTAAATCCACCCCTAGCAAGAAACATAGTCTTGAAAAAATATCTTTGGTAACTCGAAAATGCTACATATGGCTATTCTCATCATACTTTTAGTATAATTTGTAGACACACACGTCTACAGTCTCATATTCTGATACAGATACAAGTTCCCAGCACTGCAATTTCACAAAGATAGAGCTACACTCATGAATATATGCATTTGAATTAAACATGTGTATTAATTGTTATATATGTGTGTGTGTGTACGCGTGCGCACGCGTGTTGTGAACGTAGGAGACAGGGGGGCCCACCCACGTGATGTCCTGTGTGCGGAACGGCACCTGCGTGCGGAGCGGCTGCCCTCGCCCACGAACTCGCCGCTGTAGCCTGACAGCAGCTCGGGTCCACGAGCACGAGATTTTTCCGCGCGAGTTTTCCTTTCCCGCCCTGTTCAGCCCGCCAATTTTCGGTTGTCATAACTATTTGTTTACTTGCAGGTGCCCTCGATAGTTCAGTCCTTGCACTGATGAGAGGAAGAGTGGATATCTCACTTTGCTGAGATATTTCGCTACCGAGTCTGAGTTTCCTTCGCGAAACACAGATATCGAGTTTGACTTGTACTTTTGTGAAAACAAAAGTCAGGGCTCTCTCAGGACATATCGATTCTGCGACGGTGGGCGTGACTCTGCGCCCAACAATTAGTATCAGAGCCCCTAATTCAGACTGGAGGTGGTAAAATTTCTGATCTGAGATGGTGGTTGAATATTGTGTGGTAAAACACAAGTAATTATTAAAAATTCATGAGAGAAGCGGATTTACATAATTCAAGCGGATAATGGCTTCTACAAGTAAAACAAATAAAATTGGAAAGTACGACATTGAAAAATTCAATGGAAAAAATAATTTTTCCTATTGGAGGATGCAGATAAAAAATTCGCTGATTTCGCAAAAAGTGCACAAGGCTTTGGCTGGAAAAGAGAAGAACAAAAATATGTCTGATGAGGATTGGGAGGAGCTGGATCTGAAAGCACGGACGTCGATTATCCTTTGCTTTGAAAGGGATGTAGCTTTCTTGGTGGACGGGGAGGAAACGGCTGCGGGCGTGTGGTTGAAGTTAGAAAGCACCTTCATGACGAAGAGTCTAACGAACCGGATCTATTTAAAATCTAAATTGTATACTTGCAAGATGGATGATGGCTCGTCAATCCGGGAATACATCAACAAGTTCGATAGGATCTTATCAGACTTGAAGGACATTGAGGTGACAGTGGAAGACGAGGATCAGGCGCTTCTACTACTTCTATCTCTGCCGAAGTCCTATGAGAATCTGGTTCAAACACTGATGCTTGTGGGTGACAGTTTGTCAATGGATGAGACTAGAACGGCGCTTCTAGCGGATGATCTTCGAAAAATTATAACTAGTGATATGGCCACTGGTGGTAACAAAGAACAAACGTAGGGACTGTTTGCCAGAGGAAGAGGCAATGAGCGAGGAAAAAACAAGGGATGAAAGTCTAGATCGAAATCGAGACCTCTTGCGGGACGAGCGTGTTTCAAATGCGGTGAAGTTGGGCATTTCAAGGTCGATTGTCCTAACAAGAGAGTAGATGGGAAAAAGAACAACAAGACTGAAAGATGAGAAGGCAAGGAAGAGGCGAGTTATGCTTTAGGGGAAGGGAGCGATAAGGAATGCTATGTCGTCACGGGTGGCGAGGATACCTCCGGAAAGTGGATTCTTGATTCTGGTTGCTCTTACCACATATATCCAAATAAGAAGTAGTTTACTACCTACAGGAGCATTGATGGTGGAACCGTACTGATGAGGAACAACCATGCTTGTAAAACGGTGGGGCTAGGTGATATCAAGATCAAGATGCATGATGGAGTGGTTCGAACCTTGATGGATGTAAGGCACGTTCCCGACTTGCGGAAGAATCTAATCTCAGCCGGTGCTTTGGACTCCGGGGGTTGTAAGATCGTAACAGAGAACGGAGTGAAGAGGGTTGCTTGGGGTTCCTTAACAGTGATGAAGGGTGTTCGTCACGGTAATCTATATACTCTCTCGGGTACGACGGTGACGGGAGATGCAGCAGTTAGAGCTGAAGGAAGTGGTAGAGACCCATGTGAGCATACACAATTATGGCATAGGCGGCTTGGGCACATGTCAGAGAAGGGTCTAGATCTGCTTGGTAAAGAAGGCTTGCTAAAGAACTTGAAAAACCTTGCATGGATTTTTGCGAGGACTGTGTGTATGGAAAGGCGCACAGAGTCCAGTTTCTGAGAAGCAATCACAAGAGCAGAGGGATACTAGATTATGTGCACACGGATGTTTGGGATCCGGCTTCGACAACTTCCAAAGGTGGTTCCAGATATTTTGTCTCATTCATAGATGATCATTCTAGGTATGCTTGGATTTATTTTCTGAAGCATAAGAATGAGGTATTTAAGATATTTACGAAGTGGAAGGCGATGGTTGAGAACAGGACAGAGAAAAAATTGAAGACACTGAGATCTGACAACGGTACAGAGTACACAGATGGTGCTTTCAAGGAGTTCTGTGATCAGGAGGGCATTGCTAGACACTGGACAGTTAGATTTACACCATAGCAGAATGGGGTCGCGGAAAGACTGAATCGAACATTGCGGGAGAAAACAGTGAGTATGAGATCTTATGCTGGTTTGGGCAAAGAATGATGGACAGAGTCGATTGCTACAACTTGCTATATTATGAATCGATCTCCACATTCAACATTGGACGGTGATACACCCTATCGGGTGTGATCAGGGGAGCATGTAGATTATGAGAGGCTCCGGATTTTCGGGTGTACTGCCTACTATCACGTTAACGAGGGAAAGCTTGACGCGTGGGCCAAGAAGGCAATCTTCTTGGGGTACGCAAAAGGTGTAAAAGACTATCGTCTTTGGTGTACAGAAGATTCGAAGTTCGTGATCAGCAGGGATGTTACCTTTGATGAGAAGTCCATGATTGCTAGGGTACCCAAAGATGGTGGTGTTGAGACTGTTGGGACTTCCAAGTCCCAGGTTATTGAGATAAAACCTAAAGACCAACCAGGTTCTAGTCGTGTTCAAGTGGGAAATCAGGTAGATGATGAGCTTGAGCAGGAGGAGGTTCGGCAGGATAATACACAGGCACTTCAACAACATCAGCTCGAGGATAGCTTGGCTTCCACTAGGCCAAGGCGAGCATACAAGCAGGTACAGAAGCTGGGGGCTGATCAACCCCTGAAGCACTATAGGCATGTTAATTTGGTTGAGTACGCACTCTCGGTGGAGGAAGATGAGCCGATCTCCTTCAAAGAAACTATTCGGGATAAAGAGAGCGAGAGTTGGTTGGCTGCGATGGAGAAAAAGATGGAATCTCTCCGGAAGAATCAAACATGGGAGGTGATCTCATTGTCCGTAGGAAGAAAAACTATTGGTTGTAAGTGGGTGTATAAGAGAAAGGAAGATCCTTTAGAGCTTGGCGGTACGAGGTATAATGCAAGGCTAGTAGCTAAGGGGTTTGCATAAAGAGAGGGTGTGGATTATAATGAGATATTTTCTCCGGTGGTGAAACACACTTCTATTCGGGTGCTATTGAGTATTGTTGCTCATGGTGATATTGAGCTGGAACAACTCGATGTCAAGACGACCTTCTTGCACGGAGACTTGGATGAAGAGATCTATATGTATCAACCTGAGGGATACAAGGTTGAAGACAAGGAGAATCATGTATGTCGTTTGAGGAAGTCACTTTACGGATTGAAGCAATCTCCGTGACAGTGGTACAAGCGATTTGACTCCTTCATGCTGAAGCATGGGTTTTCCCAAAGCGACTATGATTGTTTTGTTTACATTCAGAAGCTTCGTGGAGGTGATTATATCTATCTACTGTTGTATGTGGATGACATGCTTATTGCATTGAAGAACAAGGTGGAGATAGATAAGCTGAAATCTCAACTCAGCAAAGAGTTCGAGATGAAGGACATGGGCGCTGCAAAGAAAATACTGGGTATGGAGATTAGAAGAGAGCGGGCGAATCGGCGATTGTTCTTGAGTCAGAAGGGTTACATAGAGCGGGTGATCGCGAGGTTCGGGATGCAAAGTGTAAAGTCGGTGGTGACCCCATTGGCTCCACACTTTAGGCTTTCGGGTAAACAATCTCCCACTACAGCGGAAGATAAGACACACATGGATCGTGT